TTTTTTTCTTTCTCTTTTTTTTAATATCCTCGCCCTTTCTAATGTTTCTATCCCACATTATGCCCCCTTTGGTTTTCTCAGATACCCAGGCTGCTATTTCCGTTGTTTGGTGTTTGCCCTTACGATATATCATTTATTGCAGGTTGGAAGGAAATAGTCAATATGTACACTTGCTTCAGCATCATTAATTGAGAGGCTCAGAACGCAATAAGAGCACTTTAAATACAATCGTGTGGTGTCATTGCCCAGCCATCTTCGTACTTCACGCACAGCAAGCTCTTCCTTATGGCCGTCCTATGAATGGCTGCTGTTGATAATGCCGGACTAGTCGAGGCAAATATATACATTGCTTCATATTTCTAAGATACGCAGCTTGAGAAAATCTTGCATGAACACAGATACATTTTCGACCTATGATAATGAGTCAAGTTTCTCTTGACTATGTCACTTTCACAGAACAAACATCCACTCCCTCATTTCTTTCTTCTGCGGTGTTATGGGTTAAAATGCATAATTATAACGCGTGTGAGAGAAAGATTGAGTGATGCTGCACTAGAAGAGTCATATCACGCAACGATCTCGAGTTCAGAAGTCCTATCCTTCGCATAAACATCTTTCCATTGCTCCCATAATCTTGCTAGTTCCTGAACATACTTAGCATGCAGATAATCGATATAATCGTCATCGATCTTATCTCTATTTTGCTGCTGAATGACTTGAATGGGACAGCCGACAACAATGTTCAATGGGCGACGGTAAGGCATTAAACCCACATCATAATTAAAGACCCCACGAGCATGAAACAAGGGTATTGTGAAACCCATAGTATGCTTTATGAGCATTTGAAATTTGTGTATCAGGGGGTGTTGGTCCGAACGCACTTGTTCATACAGATCATTCTCGCCGAATGCTAGCACTGGGACAAGGTCTGCACCAGTACGAATCGCAAGCTTTATAAAGCCCTTTCGTCTCCTAAGTACAAGACGAAGCGTGTGTGGTAAGGCATCGAGGGATTCGCGGGCGCCACCAATAACAATAGTGATAGCACGCCCCATGCCTTCGCCGTCGGTGCCACCTTTAGTAAGAAGATTCTCACATGACTCACGCGAGACACTAGCAACGCCCATCGCAAGAGCATACTCCCGATAGAAAGGAATCCGAAAATTAGAGTCGAGGGTAAGCAATGTATTTGTGATTCCTGGGAAGAGCTTAGAGAAACCCAGCGCCTCAGTCGCGAAGGCCGCAAAAGCGCCATGTGAGATGATTCCATGGGGGTGGTACCCAAATATATATTTCCGTGTTGGCAAAAGACGTTCAGATCGATGTAAACGGGCCGGGAAGTAAGACGCATAAACTGACCAGATGCGTAAAGATCGCAAGTAATTGCTCCTGCCACTTAGGGTCCCAGACGTAGCAGCCGTTGAGAAGAGCGATATATAAATTAGATAAGGCAAGAGAATAGGCCATGATAATGGTATAGCACATGCGAAAAAGAAGCTGGTAAGAAAAATGGCGATAGTCAAAGTATGACACAATACCACAAATGTTTGAAGGCGACGTTCCAGACCAATATTTAGCGGTGCCCAGCGAATGCTAAATCTAGAGTCAGTCCACAGGCTATACATTCGACTCCCTTCATCAAGGCCCATGCCTCAAGGGAAAAACTCACCCCATCTTTTTAATTTTCCCAGGTTCACCAGAAGTATTGGTGGAACTCTTTGCAGCTGCGGATAGTATGTGATTATGCGAAGGCATCATCTCTGGTTCACTTTGTAATTTATGAGCTCCATTTCCTACAGAAGCCCTAGGTATTTCGCCCCGAGAATCAGAGCTAGAATTGCTGTCCTGACATTGGATGTTTCCGTTTAAAATCTCGTGCCGTCTAGTGCCACTATTCTCTAGTGTTATCGGGGCCGATCGAGGCTGATGAGTTATGTCTGGAGTCACGGCCATATCTGATTCGATACCAAGTGTAACACTCGTCTGGCTTGGTGGTGGAGAGCCTGCAATATCAGGAAAGCCAGCGTCACTTCAGGATGTAAGCGATTTAGCTCGGGGAGATATGCATTGAGCTAAAATATAGGAGGCTGGTTGGGTATTATATAGTTATGTATGAAACACAAGCGTCTATAGATGTTGTTTCTCAGGATGATTATATATGGCGAAATTATGGGAAGTATCGAAGCAACTATTTCAAATCAGATTGTGGGTGATAGTTGCACCTAAGAGAGGAAGGAGCGTTCGGCACTTTCAATTTTCACGTGAAGAATTAAAGCCTTTTACAGACGTCATTACAGCTATGTAGGTACTTCTTTAGGGTCGGCTGACGACGATCACCAAGTATAAAGGCCTTGCTCGGGCTGCGATAGAAATATTCTCCGGTTAGCATCATATATAAGATAGTTGCTCAAAACATGTACCTTTTAATATTATAGAAGTTACTATTTTCACTATACATTGGGTTAAATAATGTAAATTATATAGATTGTCGTGACTACTCAAGACTTCCTTTTGTAGATAATTCTCCCAGCATCATTAAAGGCTATCCAAAAATCCTACTCAAAACAGTCCAGAAGAAAGCCGTGGGCTGCTCTAAGCACTTCCCAAATCCATACAGAGGTTACTTATTTACAAGTACCTAACCCCTGGGTATTTATATTAAACCAAAAGGCCGTGCCTAGGATACACTAAAATTACTAGTAAGAACCTTCCAATAGGCACAGATAGAACATACTGCGTGGAAGTTTCATAATCAGTGATTGTACTGATTATATATACTCAAGGGAGATATAAATACTATATAATTGATTACCTTTGAAACAAATAACCAGAAAGTCGATACATTTTTCCCACATAATGTCATAGGGACTACTTTATTATATGCATCTATTGATAAATTTAACTGACATATAAATAACTACATACTTTCTCGTGGATATAATACCATGCCATTCGAAAACCAAAGCTGCTCATCGTCTTCCCAATGATTGTAGAGACTCCCTGGCCAGAGATGGCCTTATTATGCTAGCTGATCTTCCTGACAATACCCCATAGTCCCAGACGCTCGTATCATGTGCTGAGCAGATTATTGGGTTGACCAACCATGCACAGCATCTCATAATAGTTTATCTCAGCCAAGATAGAGATCTATATATGCATAAACAACCCAGAAAACGTTGTGTCCTTAAACGCGATTGCAGATGCATAATTCTCTCAAAAGAACAAAAGGGTATATAAATACGGTGCATCGCGATGTTCAGCCTCCTCTAATGGCACGGGAATCGGGATATTCTCCTGTATAGAATGACCACAAGGCGGAGCGGCAATGTGTCACATGGTCCTTAAATTGACAAAATCATGTAGCCAGGGGACATGTAATGTAAAAGTAATTCACGATTTAACCATGAATATCTGTCGCAGTTAGCTTCAAGTCCATATTGGTAGACATGTTTAGAATTACCTCATTGAGAGATCTGTCATCCATGAGGGCTTTCTTCTTTTGTGCAATGTGTCGACATCTGAGAACATGTCTCCCCATCGGACGGCGTTCTTTTGATGAAACATTGGCAATTGGGGGTGATGCATCTCGAGATTCGGTAACAGTAGCTTTTAGGCTAGTTTCCAAAATCACATTTTCCAGGATTTCAGAGCTTGTAGCGCTAGGCTCATCCATGTGCTTCCTTTTCTTAGTCTTCCTGTCTTTTTTATCCTTCTTTCTCTGTTCGTCTTTCCTATACCGCTTGCTCTTAGACCTAGAGGTCTCCTCCATAATAGGGACAGATGAGACTTGTTCCTCTCTAGGCGCCTGGAATGTACTATCTTCAATGGAAGTGTTCGCATCTTTCTCACTTTTTTGCAACTCGAGGCCACCTTGGTTTTGGTGTGAACCATGCTGAGCTCCTGGGGTTTCCTTCGGAGGGGAGAGGGAAACAAGCTTCTCTTGCGCCAACAAACCGCCGCTGATGAACCTGACCGTATGCCATTTTGTTGCAGCATACCGTGCTATCTTCGCATCTTCGCGCTTTTTTTGTTCTGCTTCCAAATCTGCATCGGATTTTCCATTCAGGCGACCTAGTAAACCTTTGAAGGCATCAAGGCCAGTAGGTTCATTGAGGGGGTCACGCTTGGAGCGTGCCCCAAGGCCAAGTGTATCATCCTTCACAACAACCCTGATATGAGATGCGCTCGCGGCAGTGAACATATCAGCATGAGCAGCATTGCGTGCACCTAGAAAACTGCCAGGAGTCCATCCCTGAGAGCTCATAATTTTGTGGCCATAACCGCTAGTTGATCGGGACCAATTTGTATTGTTTGGATCATGGGAGATTTTCGTCCTCCTTAAAATGCCTTGCCGTCAGTATTCACATTATTAAAATATTCGAGGTGCACCAAAATCACATACTTGCGGGGTGCTGCTAAACCCATTTGCAACGTTAAATATTACGGTTGATATAAGTCTCCCTAATCTCAAAATCCTAGAAACAAGCAACAAAAAAGTGTAGAACAAATGGGTGGAGCAACGAAATGATAGTAGACTGACAAATTGATAATGTAGAGAAAAAAGAAAAGAAAGGCCTGATAACAGACATAGACCGCCTGCTTTTTTAGGGGGTTCCACTTCTAATCAGTGGAGCAACTTGCCCCCTTCCAATATTGTATCAATATTCCCGGCAGTATGATTTACTCCGTACGGCTTCTCAAGACCTGAGTCTGTATGAAAATGATCATTAGACACGTCTGATAGCCTAGGAATATGCCAAATTTACGGGTCTTTTCTCGGGACAGTCCTCAACGCACTCTTGCTATAACAACAGCAGACTTCGCCTTAATATTCAAACATGGCTCAACAGCTCCAGCAATTAATAAATCACCCAATCATGACCCGCCACGGTGTCTCGTTGAATTTGCAACTTTACAGTCTGTTGACCTGAGAGGTTATCGAGCTTTATGTGACGGGTTTGGAACTCTCGGGTTGATTACTTTGGGCAAGGAGGTCTTCCTCTGCATTGTTACTGCTTGCTCAGACGCCGCAACAGTAAGACCAGGAGAGACAGTCTCAAAAATTGACAACGTGGACTTCTGTACTGTCTCATTATCATCTTCCCCGATCAGTAATGGCTAATAACCTCAGTTTGCCTTAGTCATTCGGATTATGAAAATGGATTCGAATACGAATCTGAATCCTTTGCGACTGAGGAGTTCAGTCGTGGACCCAGCTTCGAGAATAAGGAGACGGTTACTGATCATCCGTTCTTGGCCCTGAAGAAGCTTCTCAGTGACGGCAGCTTCTATTATAGTCTTGACTTCAACCTCACTGATCGACTGCAGGACCGGTTAGTCGATATAGGATGTCTATGCTCAAATAATCAAATGTTAGCTGATATAACACTAGCTCGGAAAAGTCGACAGCTTTCGATATTGAATCTCTGGACGAGGATATGCTGTGGAACTCGTACATGATTCATCCACTTCTTCTTTTCAGGAGCCACCTGTCGCCTGCTGAAAAGCTACGTCTCGACTCTTCTCAGATCCTGACATGTGTTATACGCGGGTTTTCCGGTACACTGACGATTCCTGCTTCAATCTCCATCTTGCCCCAGCTACGAACAAGCTATTCTTCCACGTTGACCATTATTTCGCGACAGTCCTCTCGACGAGCAGGTACAAGGTTTAATTCCCGAGGCATTGATGATGATGGCCATGTTGCCAATTTTGTTGAGACAGAAACAATTCTTTGGATCCCACCCAACATAACATTTTCCTATGTTCAAGTACGTGGCTCCGTACCTATTTTCTGGGAGCAAGCTACTGGATTCCTGCCTGGGCAACAGAAAATTGAAATAACTCGATCTAGCGAGGCGACTCGGCATGCGTTTAACAAGCATTTTGAAAATCTTGAATTAGAATATGGTGCAATCCACGTGGTTAACCTTCTCAGTAAGCTTAAGTCCGGGGAGTCTGAGCTGTCGACGGAGTTTTCCAACCAGCTCAAGAAGAGTTCTCTTAGCCAAAAAGCGATTCCCAGCATACTATCCAATCATGCACTATTGCGAGCAACTGAATTCGATTTCCACGCCGAGACTCGAGGTCCCTTGGGGTACGGAGCTAGCAGCCAAATAAAACCCGAGTTATCAGATTCTTTGGATGGTTTTGCATATTTTCTGTCTGAAGGGATTGGTTCAGCAACTTCGGACGAGAATCAAAATGAACCGGAAAGTTCCTTTGTCATTCTTCAACAGGAAGGCGTGTTCCGGACAAATTGTTTAGATTGTCTCGACAGGACTAATCTTGTGCAAACCATCATTAGTTCCATGGCTCTGGAATCCTTTATGTTGCAGCGAAAGGGGAGATTAAACCCAGAAGTCCAGCTGAAGCACTCAACCCTTTGGGCCGACAATGGAGATGCTCTATCAAAAATCTACGCAGGTACAGGTGCTTTGAAAAGTTCGTTCACACGACATGGCAAAATGTCCATTGCTGGCGCGCTGGCAGATGCACGGAAGACCGCAACACGGCTTTATGTCAACAATTTTTCCGATAAAGCTCGTCAGAAAACAATAGACCTTTTATTGGGAAGATTGACAGATCAATCGCCGGTGCATCTCTATGACCCGATCAACGATCTGGTCTCTGATGAGTTAAATCGGCGAGCATTGGAATATTCCTCTACCAAGTCTATCAAAATCTGGACAGGGTCGTTTAACGTCAATGGGAGACATCGTGGACCAGATGTCGACCTAGCTCAATGGTTGTGGGCAGGAATTGACGGGCAAACTGAGGAGCCGACTATATTTGCTGTTGGCTTCCAAGAAATCGTTTCATTAAGTCCACAACAGATAATGTCGACGGACCCTACAACTCGTAAGGTATGGGAAGTTGCTGTTGGGAACTGTTTGAACAACCGTGCGAGTTCGAGAGGAACTGCGAAGTATGTCCTTTTGCGGAGTGGCCAGCTTGTTGGCGCCGCACTTATGGTATATGTTAGAGAAGATGCACTGAGAGATATCAAGAATGTTGAAGGGAGTGTTAAGAAGGTAGGCCATCACGCGATTCCTTTGAACACATGTCTGATAATGATCATGTAGACGGGCCTCTCCGGAATGGCTGGTAATAAAGGTGGCTGTGCAATACGCTTTGAGTACTGCAACACGCGGATATGTTTCGTCACGGCTCATCTTGCCGCTGGTTTTGCAAACTACGACGAGAGAAACAGAGACTATGAGACTATATATCACGGACTCCGGTTCCAGAAAAACAGGGCAATTGAAAATCATGATGCCATTGTGTGGCTTGGAGATTTTAATTATCGAATCGGTCTCGATAACCAATTTGTTAGAGAACTTGTGACACAGAAAGACTATCAAAAGCTTTACAGCAATGATCAGGTATTTCAATTGCATAAATCTGGGATTTGCCTTTATTTAACGTCATATTTCAGTTAAACCTACAAATGTTGGCAGGCAGAGCCTTCCCGTTTTATACTGAAGGTCTCATTACATTTCCGCCAACGTACAAATATGACATTGACAGCGATATTTATGATACATCGTGAGATCCGGCTAATCTTACAAAATGGGTATTCGAACTGATTGGTTGCAGAGAGAAAGCACGTATACCTGCTTGGTGCGATAGGATATTGTGGCGAGGGCCATGCCTTCGTCAGATGGAATATAACACCGCAAACTTACGTTTCTCAGACCATCGACCCGTTTGGGCCGCTTTCTCATGTGTCATCAACGTTGTTGATGAAGCTGTGAAGGATAGACTCAGGCGAATACTTTATACTGAGAGACGCAACGACCCCTATAATGTGATGACAAAGACAATAGAACAGGCGAGCCCACAAAGTGAAGAACATATTCTACCCACGCCTATTGCTCCTGGTCTACCACCAGCTAGTTCGGATCATCATAGGTGGTGGTTAGAAAGCGGTATGTACCTCCGATCGTCTGTGACGTGCTTACACATCGCATCTGCCCTTATTCATTTATTCTAATCAATATACTTAAAGGGGCACTTGTGAAATCAGCTTTGAAACCGTCTAGTGATGGATACAATTTCAACATCCACCACAGCTCCAACCCTTTCTCTTCCAGCAGTGATATGAGTTGGGTCAACACTCATGGTTCCGCTAAAAGACAGCCTATAATTAAGAATCAGGATACTGTATCTCAAGGCTCGCAATTTCCCCCAAGGCCCAAAGTTCAGATTCTGCCAGTTGAGTTGAGTACGGAAAGTCCAAGTTCCTTGGACAACACAATTAATAGGTATACCGGACATCTGGGTAGTGAGAAGGCTGCACCACCGATACCCCGAAAACCGGTTTCTCTTAGTTCAAAGCAACGTCTAACGGGGTCTTGGCCAGTTACTAGCACCCCACAGACAGCTGCTGCCACGGAACATATTTTCAAAGGATATAATCGATTAGGACAGAATATTGGAGACAAAGTTAACACAGTCGATACACCGTCTGCCTCAACTGAGAGGTTGAAAAATACCGGCGTGTCAACTGGGTTTTGGCTCGACAGACAGGAGAAACATGGACAAGGCAAAAGCTTACATACAGACCCCTCAGTCGGGTCACCTCCGAGGTCCACAAGTGATGATCTTCTTGATGGAACTGCAGACGAAATTATTGAATGGAAGCCCCTTATTCCCCAATGAAGCTGTTGTGACGGACGTTTGGGCTAATTCACTTCGGAGAGACCATGGAGCCAGTACAAAGCGCAAATCCACATAATGTTAGAATACAGGTTCTATGTTTTTGATTTTGCAAGATATCCGCTGCATGGGGAAAAAAATAGCTATGTCATATGCAACCGGTTGTTGGGCTTAAAAACCTGCATTAAAGCCAAAACACATAATACACAAATATGCATATGGAAGGAGTAGAATATGCTATTGAACGCTCTATGGGTATATTAGCACGCCGCAACACCCACAATGTTTAACACATGATAGAACCATGCCACGACTTTTTTAGGGACCACAGATGCCTTCCGTGCTCCTTGTTTCACCGCTATCAAGGGAAGGGAAGGGGAACGAGAAAGGAAATGAATTTGGAAATGAACTTGGAAATGAACTTGGGCGCACAATCCCACCCCGAGGCATGAGAAACCAATCTCGGCTATGCGAGAGGAAAAGCCATGCCCCCCCCAGAGAAGCTTGGATAGATCAAGTGCAAACTTCTAGCATTTGCCCCAGGCTGCCTTGAAAAGTCGAAGATATCGCAGAGCATACAAAGCCCACCGGCATGTTTGGCGTTCACTTCCTATCGGGATCTAAGCTTTAGGCCTAGCTTGAAAGGGAGTAACAATGCACGCTATACCTATCACGCAGTCTAGAGGCAGCAGCTAAAAGTTGAGATTCTATCACAACACACGGGAAGCGAACCCGTGTTGCAGGACTACTCTAGGCTTTTTTCCCACTTTTAAAGCCTTGTTCAATCTACGGTTGCCACCCGCCATCCACATGGCAAACGCGCCTGGGTCAGGGGCTCTTGGTCGCGGCTTTTTCACTCCTGGGAAGAAGACAAGTCAGTTTTCGGCATAGATCGAGACGAAGGGCGAGTGGAGTTCCACTCAGAGGTCGAGTTTTGAGAAACTCCATGGCGAAACAGCAGGCATAAGACGCACCTGTTGAGTCAGATTTTTTCTTGGGCTCCTCGGCAGGAACAGCGACAACCACGTCTTCGGGTGCTGGCAGAGCTTCAGAGGCAGTGGCAGCTTCTGGGACAGGAGGATCCGGCGGCGGAGCTGGCTCGGGAGTCTTTGGCTTCTCCGGTATAGGCCACATATGCATAGTTACTGTCCAATCAGGTTCTATTACGGTTTCCCAAACCTGTGGAAGAATGATATCCCCGTTGGGCCCTATCAAATCATAGTGTCCCTCGGCGACATGAGGCCCAATTACCTCTATGTGGAGAAAAGCCTGGCGAATGAGCTCTTCCATACCCTTGGTTTAACAGGATTAGATATAGAATCTAATGGGTGAATAAAAAGCAAGGATAATAAAAGAAAAGAATACATACCTGCCAAGTACAACACAGGTCAAAGGGAAAGCTGAACTTCCTCCCCACCGCATCTTTAAACTTTATGGGTTTTTTCTTTTCGGGGGGTGGCTTATCGGATGCAGCAGCCCTCGCTGCAGCAATAGCTTCTGCTGCTGCTGCATTGGCTGCTTCAGTGGCCGCAGCTGCAGCCTCTGCGGCTGCGGCGGCCGCCGCTTCTTCCGCCTCTTTCTTTGCTTTCGCTGCTTCTTCGGCAGCTTTTTGCTCTGCCTCCGCTCTAGCACGAGTAGCAGCTTCCTCTACAATCCTCATCTCATGAGCAGCGCGCTCTTCTCTGGCGGCTTGTTCAGCAGCTTCTTGCTCCAGTGCCGCTTGCCGTGCAGCTTCTCGTTGTTCCCTCGCTTCGCGTTCTGTCCTTTCCTCCAAGATCAGCTTCTCCAGCCTTGCAATTGCTTCGTCCTTTGATGTATCCGTGGGTGGCGGAGGTGGGGAGCCAGTTGATTCAACCTGACTTGGAGATGGTACGCGGGGGTACGGATTGAAATATGATGGATGAATCATGCCAGGAACCATACCATATGGCTCCCTAAAGGGATAATAACCCCCTGGTCCATAGGGGACCAAATCATTGGGGCCCAGCGGGGCGCCACCATATGGTGATGGTCCATGAGATGAGAGAGAACGTGCCAATGGATGTTGAGATGGATTATGGCTATCACCTCGAGCATGGGAAGGCGGCGTATGGTGTTGATGGTGCCCCAGATGATGGTCATGAGCAAAAAAGGGTGGCATAGAGGAGCCATGGGGTTGCTGCAGTTGATTATATGCATAACTTGCATGGCCATAGGGGTTCGGTTGAGTGGGATGTCCGTGGGGACCCAGCCTTATAAGCTGGTCTGAAGGAGGCTGGTGACCGTTTTGGTGTGTATAAGCTGCATGTGGTACACCACCATTGGGGTAAACGTATGAGGGTACTGGAGAAGGGCTGCGAGCATACCCTGGGCCTTGAGCCATGGGCGGCCAGATTCTCTTCTCATGAGATACTCGACCATACGGGCTGTCATACTCGTCCCCTGAGTCCATGCTTTCTGGAGACTCGGGGGAAGGCTGACGACGAGGGCGACGAGTGAAACGCTCCCGTTCCTGTGCAACATGACGTCTACCTGGGTGACGACGAGTCGAGGATGACACATGAACCGGGTGACGGCTACGAGCACGATGCGACGTCCTAGGTCGAGACGCGGAGTCAGATGGTTTCAACTCGTCTGGATATGGCAGGTGTGCCCATTCATCATAAGGATCCTGATAATCATGGCTTCCCGAGTCGGACGGCGGGGATACTTGGACGCCAGAGGAGTCTTCTTCGTCAGAAAGTGAGGAATGATCGGAGCCGTGAGGGCTGGGACCAATGGTGATGTTGAACCTAACAACAATTAGGACTAGGGTACTATTGGGGGTGTGGGTGTGAGACGCACGCCATGGGATCAGTAGCGCTAGGAAATCTTCAGGTGCTGGTGTTGTTGCTTCTTGTGGAGCAATGAAAAAAAAAAAAACAAAAAAAAAGAAGAGATATTAGGTATGGTCGCTAGGGTCACGCATGTAATTCAATGCAATTTCCTGCTTCGTAGGGATACGGCGAGGTCTATATGGAGGGACAGGATGCCCCCCATGTACCTGAGTAACTATATTTGAGCTCCAGATGGCCGTTTGTAGACCCTTGGGTTGGTCTCAGGAATGCGTATAGAGGATTTCGTTACCACCCAAGATTCTTTGCGATGGGAGTAGTGGGCATTTCTCAGAGGCTGCACGAGACGGGTTCCTTGGAGGCCGATGATATTGAATGATGAATTCAAAGCCCAGGCATATACCCCGCCCGAGGAAGAACGTCGGGCGCGAATCGTAGGGAAGGGTATCCAGGAACTCAAGTAGAGATTCCAGGAGACGAGCCAAGACAAGTGGTTCTCAGAACGTGAGGAGGGGTCGGTGCGAAGAGCAAAGAAAAGTGCCAGAAAAGACGATGGAAAAACTTGACCTAACTCATTCAGCGGACTGCCTGATCAGATAAACTGGTCGTTGGGCATGCCATGGGAGATGATTCCGAAAGTTCGAGACAATTAGGCACTGAGTTGTCAACCCTCTCTTTTCTTGCAGGCTGCATGCTGCCCAAGTGCCCAATCAACATCCAACCTTCGGGTTGAGTAACTACAATCGGGCGACAGCTGAAGCAGGTACGAAACATGCCTCTAGTATTGTGCAGGAAGTCTTTAGTGGATCTCAATGGCTATGTGGCATGAATAGCATGGAGACTTTTTCTAGTGTTGGATATTTATATACATATATGTATTCCGAGCAGAGGCTGTAATTATTGAATTAGATTAATCGAATGGGTGTATATGCACATGGAGGTACATGTTTATGTAACATACTCAGTGAGAGTAAAGCTACTAACTACGTATATTGATGACGTATTATCCACTCACAACTCATTTCGATAACGAACCATGGATGAATATTCGTCGCTGCCTTCTTTTCTTTTTCTCCTTTCCGAGGAGGGGGGACGGGGGGGTTTGGTCCAGCATTGGCTTTAAGAATTCTTAATTAAACACACCACGAGGATCTCTGTAGCCCAACTAATCAGCGCCTTGGTAGTAGGACTATGCCAAAGAACCAACAGTTCTTTCCCCACCAACCTGGTATCACAATTGAGATACTACTGTGAGTGGAAGACATGCTTTTTACTACAAGGACCTGTCATTGCTGTAGTCCAAGCGACTATGGTTACATCCCCGAGCGGCTGGGCTGAGGTGGGGATGAAGCCTACGAGGCATTAAATGGTCTTCTGATAATAGGACCCGTGTCAAAAGGTGTGTAAGTTGAACACCTCTCTCCAGCACCCTTCAACCCCGAAGGAAAAGAGCTCTAGATAGTATAACAATAAGGGAGGAGATATTCATTATACATGTAGTTAATGGATTCATGGTGAAGTTAACTTGCGTGCTCACTTAACATGAGTTGCGGTCAAGTAGCTCTTGGGCTGCAATGAGTTCGCCTTGCGCATGCTCCCAAAGCTGGCGGTTTCCAGACCGCTGTTTTACAATGTCCTCAAGTTTTCTTCTAGCAAGAAGATTCAATTTATCGGCCTTCTCTTTGGGTAAGAAATCATCCGTTGACGCCGACGATGACGCCTGCGCAAAACTCATCGTGTATTCTCTTTTAAGTTGAAGTGAAGTCGCCTGGGGGAGCAAAAGTCAGTATATATATGAGCATTTAGCACAGACGTCAAACCCGAGTCTCGGTAAGCAGAAGACAAAGACTGGACAGTGGGTACGAGGGAAATCATGCAGCAGATAGAGGCTCACCAAAACTAAGCCATAAAACCCCCTAAGATAATCGTCACATAGTTCGACGCTTCTACAAAAATATTGGATAGATCTTCGCAAATACCGAGAGGAAACTTCTGTCCCCGCAGTGCGGGCGCAGATGTATAGAACTTCTCCAAGACGAGCATGAATCTGCAGTAGAAGTTAGACAGTCTTGGATGGAAAGCAAACAGTGGATACATACATTCCAAGCATTAGGGGCGATTAGCAGGGCCTCTTCGAGACTGAATATTGCTTGCGAGCTCAATCCTTGAGACTGATATAGATCTGCAAGTTCACACCAGGCCTCTGCATCGGTAGGCACGGCTTTTAGGAGCTCTACCAAGCCGCTTATAGCATCTGCAGGCCTTGAAAGTGAACGCAAGAGCGCGACGCGGCGTTTTAAAATAGGCTACAAGAACCAGTCAGTAGGCGATCATCAATAAACATATCATGACAAACCAAATTAAGTGGGTTCTCCGACAGGTAGGAATCGTATTTACGTAGGGAATCCTCCAGATCAGACTGATTTTCAGCTATAGCCTCCTCATATAGGCCACGCAACCCCATTACTTTCTCATTCGAAGAGCCGAAACGACATGTCAATTGCTCGAGACATAACAGAGCAGACCTATCATCACCGGTTTGTAGACAGGAGAAGAACAGTTGCTCTATTACACCATATTTCTCTGGTGACTCTTGTTTAGCTATTATTGCAGATATTGGATTCTTCTCCGAGTGTAGTTGATGTTTAAGGATCACTGGTGCCTGCTGAGAGAAACGAAGGGTAGTAATCGGACTTGAGCTCTGAATGGCATAGAATTCGGGTGTAGCATGAGCCATGGTAGTACACACTTAAGCCCAGTGAGCACACTAGTTCATATGTTATTGTGAGAACAACAAGCTCTACTATGCTCGAAACCCTTTTTTAGAGAAGAGACTGGGGGGAACAGAAAGAAAGAGACAAGACCCAACACTGGCAGGGGTAATAAGCATGGCCTCTCATCCTGTGTACCCGGCCAGAGGAGCTGAGTTCCCATTCTGGTTAGTCACTCGATCTGATAACCGTTCCCGTGACCAAGTAGATGTCATTTTAATTATCCCTCCACCTCAGCTAGTAACCAAATCTCTACTTATCAGGCTATTATTACAATAACTCCGTACTAGCTTCTGTACTGGCTTCTGGTCTATATGCAATTGATTACTATCAATATTCGCGGCAGGCGAAGGATATAACCAGGGCTGAAACATTACTCTCCATGTGACATCAATCAGTGATTCTAATGCACCTGAGAGTCAACCAGCAGCGCATTCAACCATAATGTTCGCACCTCTCATTTTCGTGCTACTAGAAAGCTTTGCTAATAACCAAGCAATGTAGGTTTGAAAAATCTCTTTATGACCTTATAAAAGGTTTGAGGAATCACAAGGGGTCAGAGGAGGACTACATACAAGACAGTCTTCGAGAGTGTAAGGCTGAGATCAAGTCTCAGGATATGGGTATGTTCATGTCAGTCTCATGCCATTTACAATCTGTTCTATAGCTCACTCTGTACAGACAAGAAAGCTACAGCTCTACTGAAACTGATCTACTTGGAAATGTTTGGGTATGACATGTCCTGGGCTTCGTTCCATGTACTAGAAGTCATGTCATCTACCAGGTACCTGCAGAAGAGAGCTGGCTACCTTGCAGCAGTACAGAGCTTTAGACCAGATACTGAAGTCCTAATGTTGGCTACAAACCTACTAAAAAAGGTATTCAAAGGTACATCAGGCAAATTATCTCCGGCGTCTAACGTCTTCATAGGATTTGGTGTCGCCTAGTATCCCAAACATGTCCCTCCCTTTGATTACATTGCCAAACATTATCACACCTTCACTTGCAATGTCTTTGCTTCCAGATGTTCTGTCCCGCATTTCTCACTCACATGCTGTGGCTCGTAAGAAAGCTGTTGTGTGCCTTTATAGACTTGCCCTGGTTTATCCCGAAGCGCTAAAATTGGCATGGCCCAAAATTAAGGACCGCCTCATGGATGATGAAGAAGATAGCAGCGTCACCACAGCGGTGATTAACGTTGTATGTGAACTTGGATGGAGAAGGCCGCATGATTTCCTGCCTCTGGCGCCAAGATTCTTCGACCTATTAGTGGATGGAGGGAACAATTGGATGGCTATCAAAATAATAAAACTTGTATGTTTCCTTTCCCCCGGTACTGTGCACATCTTCCTAACAAACATAGTTCGCAACATTGACACCCATAGAACCACGGTTAACACGAAAACTTATCCGGCCATTGATCAACATAATACAAACAACAACTGCCATGTCATTGCTCTATGAGTGTATCAACGGCATAGTTCAGGGCGGTATTCTTGATGGCGAGGAAGGGCTGGAAGAAAAAAACGAGATTGCAAGTCTCTGTCTCGGAAAGCTCCGAGGCATGGTAGTCACAGAGTCCGATCCCAATTGTAAGTCCTTTCAAATCGGAGCATAGTAGTGAGACTAACAAGGTTGTATAGTAAAATATGTTGCTCTCCTTGCCTTCAACAGAATTGTGATGTCTCACCCCGTCTTGGTGTCAGCTCATCAGGATGTTATCATGGATTGTTTGGAGGATCCGGACATTTCAATTCGACTGCGAGCCCTTGACCTCGTGACTCGAATGGTAACAAGCGATACGCTCCAGCCAGTGGTAAATCGGCTTGTTGATCAACTTTCTAATGCCGGTCAAGTCACCAAAAGCACTCTTGTAGCCGGGAGTTGTGAGACAGGTATACGCACTGACATGCAAGAATCTACATTATCAGAAGGTCTACATGTTCAGAAGATACCGGTTGCTTTGCCAAGCGACTATAGCATTGAAGTCGTACACCGAATTTTAGATGTCTGCTCTTACAACAATTATTCGGAGCTGCCTGACTTCGAGTGGTACGTTGACGTTCTCGTCCAATTAGTCAAGCTGCTTCCTCCAAGCGTTGAAGAGCTTCCTACCCAGTGCAATTCATGTCAGGATCCTGAGTACTACAAAAACTGTGTTGCTTTTCGTATCGGCTCAGAAATACGCAATATCGCTGTCCGCGTTAGGGGCGTTAGAATGGAGGCGACCAGAGCTGCAGAGACTCTGATTCTAGTTGATAACAAGCAGGGTCCGTCTCCTCTTATCTCCAAACGAATGAATGACATCTTAGGGCCTCTTGCCTGGGTCACTGGTGAATTTGCAGAGCATCTTGCATATCCTGGCCAAACCCTTCAATCACTGGTCGATATGTCGAACGTGGCGTTATCAGCGAGAACGCTGTCCCTTTATATACAGGCTATTCCCAAAATCCTGGCCTATATCGTTTGTGCTGGAGGCAAAGCGTGGGACTCTTCAAAGAACAGTGAAATGACCCTCTTACTAGCTCGAATCATCGAATTTCTTGATGTTTTAGCTGCCCACCCAGACTTGGACGTGCAAGAAAGGGCCATCGAATTTTTGGAGGTCATGCGCTTAGCAGCAGATGCCGTCCAGGCAGAAACTCTAGAACTGGGTCCGGCACCATCCTTGCTGTCATCTATGGTTCCCAGCTTGTTCCTTGGACTAGAACTCAACCCGGTCGCTACCAACGCCCAGAGGAAGGTTCCTTTGCCAGATCAGCTTTCTCTGACACGGGAGTTCAACAAGGAACTGTATGGGCTTTTCCATAACCCAGCCAAGTGGCTTCCGGAGCCAGCAGGCCAACTACCATCTCAGATGTTTTATCACGTTAAGGAAACTTCAGTGCTAGATAAGCAGCCTGTTGAATTTGTACCTCTGGATTTGCAACTTAATCCAACATACCAGGACCTCTCCAGTGGCTTGGGCGATGACACTGCTGCATTTAAACGGAGAGAGGAACGGAAAGAACGTAACAGGGATGATCCGTTTTATATTGCTGCTGAAGATGAATTATCTTCTGGCACATTGACACCATTTCACCAAGCTCTTAATACTTCAAACGGTAGTGGGCTGGATATTGACTCGATTCCTATAGTTGATCTCAAGTTAGGTGGCGCCGGAAGCCATCGCACTTTGGCGTCTATATCGCGCGATAACCGACAAGGTGGTTCACGCCCTAAAAAGTACGAGATTGCACCTGATGAGATGATCGGACAAGAAGATTCACCCCATCTTAACCCCAATGATGAACCAAGTAAAGCCAAACGATCTCTTCTACAGGTCGACTCGAGTGGCCTCGAGCATTTATCCTTGGATGGTAGGGGCAGCCCCTTGGTAGATACCACAGTTCCTACGATGGTGGCCGGGCATGATGCAGAAATGGCTATGGCTGTGCAGGAAGTGGAAAAGCTGCGGCTAGAGATGCAAAGAGCGTCGGAACGTGTTCATCCGAATGGCATCCCTGCAGAAGGGACGCTGGTAAGGAAGAAAAAAAAACTAAAAAAGCCTGCACATATTAAATCCCAGGAAGCTGCCCTGCTGAAGCCTAAAGATGCATTGTCGGTGGACAACACTCAGCAAATGTTACTTCCATCTGTGGTACCAAAGAGAAAGAAGAAAGCAAAAAAACAAACCAATGTTGACTCGGGTAGCGCAGTCTAAGGCACATCCACCACTCCTTTGTGGGTGCCGTGGACCCATTACATGCCTGGAAATTGGTGGCTGGGACTGGATGAGCCCGGTAGTATTTGCTAGCATATCCATCCACCTGTCACAGTGGGTTAACCATCATTGATGGCTATGAAAGTGTTCCCAGGCTCCTTTTTACGCCCTTGACCAAAAACGTAGTGCCCTCGTCTTGCGGGTAGTTGTCGCTGCTAAATTCCGGTAATGACACGATTTTTCCGATGCAATATATAAATCACGTATGGTAAACTCATTTGCCTAAGGCTGGGGGATCAGGGAGTATATACTGAATCAAATAAACGCGACACGTAGATACGACAGTGTTCTTTTAGTGAATACCTAGCCTAGATTCATGCCAATTTGCGATTGAACATCTCAATAGCAGCCGACCATAACTCTGGAACAATCCTCAGCGCCTCAAATGCAAGCCCACCACAGACCGCAAAGGCAAGAACGACTGTTGGCCTCATTAGCCTCTGGGACCGCGATAATTCTAGACTTTTGAGACATACCAACCCAACCGGTAGACACGGGAGATTTCGAGTTCTGTTTTTGTTTTGTTGCGGTCTTTCCTTTGCCACGCTTTGCAGCCTCGCTCTTTGCGTACTTTTCATTCGCCTTCCGTTGCTGTGGCGTCTGTGCCTAAGGTGGCTAATTTAGCAAATATAAGGGTAAAGAAGTGTGAGATTGGAGCTTACCATTTTGGTGGGACGGTCCAGGTACTTTTAAAGGGTGGGAGGAGCAGAGACTGTACTGTAGCGAAGAGTGTGTAGTTAATATCACTCAATCATCTAGAGCCCAGCTTCGCGTTGACGGTTAGTTTAGGGTTGGCTTGGGAATAGTTAGGTGAATATGCTAATGTGAAAGGCCACGTTGCTTTAGCATTGTTGGAGGAGTGCAATAGGGAGCTGCCAAGTCTCACTTGACAATTAAAGGACAGTTTTATACACTCTGCCCTGACTACACTCTGCCCTGGAAACGGGATTTTCTGTACTAGACCTTTGAGTTGTCCTATATATATACATGGGTTGCTGGTGCCCTATTAATAAACATAGATGTCAGCAGGAAATGATGTGTTCAACCACGAAGGCCCGGTGAATTGGGCACCAGCCAACATACAACTATAAATACAATGATCTTGCTGGCGGAAGCAGTAAGATAACCTGGCCCAGGCATTACCAGTGTCAGGGGTAAGAACCCCTTTGTTACAGACCCTTGTCTAGCGCACCTTATCAAAGGTGGACACACAAGGCAGAATAACAATAGAATAACGACGGCCGGTTCTAGTATAGCTGGCATTTAATAAATTACTTATCTAATAATTATTCGGGAAGTGTAGCGTACTTAGGCGTTTTCTTACAGTTTGATGTTTTTGATATTCTGCCAGCAC